CTGAATTTTCAGTCTCCACCTTCTCATTCTTTTTTAACAGCTTTATTGAAATATAATTCACATACTATCAATTTTACCCATTTACCACATATAATTCAATGGTTTTTAGTACATTTAGAGTTGTGCAACCATCACCACAATCTAAAGGCAGAACATTTTCGTCACCCCTCAAAAACACTTGTGCCCATTAGCAGTCACTCCTCATTTCCCATGCCATCTCATCTCATCTCTACCCTGACAGCCCTAGGTAACTAATAATTTACTTTCTCTCTGTATAGATTTGCCTATTCGGGACATTTCATATAAATGAAATCATGCAATAGGTGCCCTTTTGTAACTGGCTTCTTTCACTTTGCATAATTTTTTCAAGGTTCATCCATGGTGTATAGCATCTATCAGTACTTCATTCTTTTCTATTGCTGAATGATACTCCATTGCATGGATATACCACCTTTTGTGGATGGCCATTTGGGTTGTTTCCACTTTTTGGTTGTTATGAATAACGCTATCTCACAAACATTCAAGTACAGGTTTTTTGTAGACATGCATTTTCTTTTCTCTTAGGTATACACCTAGGAGTGGAAACTCTAGGTCTCCTGGTAATTCTACGTTTAACATTTTGAGGAACTGCCAAACTGTTTTTCATTTTCCATTTCCACCAGCAATCTATCAGGGTTCCAATTTCTCTACATCTTTAGCAACACATATTATTATCTGTTTTTTATTTTAGCCTAGAATTCTAGTGTGTGTGAAGTGGTATCTCATATCGGTTTTGATTTGCATTTCCCTAATGTCTAATGATGTAGGGCATGTTTTCATGTGCTTATTAGCCATTTGTATATCTTCTTTGGAGAAATGTCTATGCAAATCCTTTGCCCATTTTTCGATTGGGTTGTCTTTTGATTATCAAGTTGTATGAGTTCTTTATATATTCTGGATACAAGCCCTATATCATATATATGATATGCAAATATTTTCTCCCATTTTCTGGGCTGTTCACTTTCTTGTGACACACACAAGTTTTTAACTTTTGATGAAGTCCAATTTACCCTTTTTTTTGGCCACTTACGTTTCCCTTTATTCTTATACAGACCCACACAATTTGCTAGAGCACTGATTCCACAGAAACTGTCTTTGTTCTGGACATAAAGACACATTATGGCTTAAATCACCTATATGGTTTCAGCTATCCTCCTTTTTGCTGTGAGTTTATTTCTTACTTTGAATCCTATTATAGACTTAAAAGAGACTAATTTAGAAAAAGGTATCTGGGCCGGCCCGGTGGCTTAGCAGTTAAGTGTGTGTGCTCCGCTGCTGGCAGCCCAGCTTCGGATCCCGGGTGCGCACCGACACACGGCTTCTCCAGCCATGCTGAGGCCGCGTCCCACATGCAGCAACTGGAAGGATGTGCAGCTATGACATACAACTATCTACTGGGGCTTTGGGGGAAAAAATAAATAAATAAAATCTTTTAAAAAAATTTAAAAAATTAAAAAAAAAGAAAGAAAAAGCTATCTACTGGTACCAAAATTAACCCAAAAGGAGATTAATGTAGCAAACCTTAATGTGGTCATAGAGCTTACTGAAAATAAATGTTCCTAGCATTTTCACAAAAAAGGAACTACAATGCTATCTTAAACTTAATAGTTACAATGTTGTAGGTTGAATTGTGTCCCCCAAAAAGATATGCTGAAGTCCTAAACCCTGGTACCTGTGAATGTGACCTTATTTGGAAACAGGGCCTTTGCAGATGTACTCAAGTTCAGATGAGTTCAGCTTAATTAGTGTGGGCCCTAATCCAATGACTGGTGTCCTCATAAGAAAACAAAGACACAGGCACAGGGAGAATGCCATGTGATGATAGACGCGGAGAGTCGAGTGATGTGTCTTCAAGCCAAAGAATGCCGAGGATTGCTGGCAACACCAAAAACTAAGAGAAAGGCGTGGAAGAGATTCTTCCCTACAGCATTCAGAGAGAGCATGGCCCTGCCGCCAACACCTTGATTTTGGACTTCTAGCCGTCAGAACTGTGAAAGAACACATTTTTCTACTGAAACCACCCAGTTTGTGGTAGTTTGCTATGGCAGCCCTAGGAAACCAATACATATAATAAACCAAATGCTTTAGTTATAATTAAAATTCAACCAAAATACACCAAATTAAGAGTAAATTCTGCCAGTTAATTTGTCCTTATATAATAAAATGCACATACACTCTCATGCTAAATTTTCATGTTAAACACTAAGCATGTAACAAAGAACTAATCTTGGCAGTTTAACTTTGCAAAAAGCAGTAAGACTAAATCTTACTAAATCTAACACATCCACTGGAGTGTTAAACTGTGTGGATGCAGAGGTTGGAGATGATGATCACTGCTGACCAGTGACCTCAGAGAAGTAATGAAACCAGCCTCCTGTGTTTTCTGTCCCCAGGCAAAACAGCTCCGAGGCCCCCAGCGAGCTCAGCCTCTTGTTTGCCTTTTCGCCAGTGCGTGAACAGAGAGGGCCATGACACCCTAGACAGTCTTGTAAGGACAGCCTAGATGGAAAACGGAGGCACGAAAGTAAGAAGTGTCACTGAGCTTGCCTAGTACCGTAACTGCCGTGGGCTGAATTCTATTCCCCCCATCCCAAATTTGTATGTTTTAGTCCTAACACCTAGTACCTCCGAATGACTGTTTTTGGAGATACGGTTTTTACGGTGGTGACTAAGTTAAGATGGGGTCATTAGGGTGAGCCCTAATCCAATGTGATTGGTGTCCTTGTAAGAATAGGAAATTTAGACACATACGTGGACAGAGGAAAGACGATGTGAAGACATAGGAAGAAGATGGCTACCTACAAGCCAAGAAGAGAGGCCTGAAACAGATCCTTCCATCACTGCCCTCAAAAGGAACCAATCCTGCCAACACCCTATCTCGAACTTCTAGACTCCAGAACTGTGAGAAAATAAATTTCTGTTGTTGAAGCAACTCAGTCTGTGGGACTTTGTTACGGCAGCCCTAGTAAACTAATAAAATAACACGAAATAAGAAAGGTATTTTTCTGACTAAAATCACATAACGAGGAGGAGCACTGAGAAAAGATAACGGTGGCGGGGCTGGCCCAGCGGTACAGTGGTTAAGTTTGCACACTCAGCTTCAGCGGCCCGGGTTCACGGGTTCAGATCCCAGGCACAGACCGACACACCACTTGTCAAGCCATGCTGTGGTGATGACCCACATAAAGCAGAGGAAGATGGGCACAGATGTTAGCCCAGGGCCAATCTTCCTCAGCTAAAAGAGGAGGATTGGCAACAGATGTTAGCTCAGGGCTAATCTTCCTCACACACACAAAAAAAGATAATAGTGGCAACAAGAAATTCGTCTCTAGTATTCTCTTTAAAACATCTGTCAAACTGACAGAAATGAAGCATCTTCCCTGTGGGATCTATGAGAAAAAGGAGAGGAACAGAGCCTATACTCTTGTTGGAATTATTCGGATCACATCCCCTTTACAGGCTCAAAAGCCTCCAAAGACTTCCTTCCTCATTCAGAAGAAAAGCCAAAGTCCCTATAACCAGTACGGCCCTTCATGATAGGGTCCCTGCCACCTCTCTGATCTCATGTTCGGCTTCTCTCTCCCGACTCACCCCTCTCCATCTACAGAGGCCGCCTGCTTCCACATCAGAGTGTTGCACCTGTCCTTCCCCAGATACCCTCAGGCCCCCAGGTCTTGGTTCATAGGTGACCACTGGGGTGAGGTCTTCCCAGATCAATGGACCTGAATGCAAAATGAGCCTCTACTCCAGCTGAACCAGCATTCCCTACCACACACCTCCACCCCAGCTTTGTTCTTCTCCAAGGCACATATCGCCATCTGAAATACCATATATTTTATTCTCTTATTGTCTCATTCTCTCCCAGCCTAGTTTAGGGACTCAATGAATGAGAGATTTTGTCTTGCTCACTACTGTATCACAATCACCTAGTCAGTGTTCAGTATGCATTTCTGAATGAACGCACTTGCACCATCTTCCTTACGGGGCTAAGATTAAGAATTAGTGCCTCTTCATAGTCTATACCTTCATTTCCTTTTTTACAAAGCTCCTGCCTTCTGTCAGTGACTCAGAGACAATAAAAGTCCCCAGCCCAAGCTTCCTTTTGCCTCTGTGTGCTAAAAAGAAACCTGGGAGCATGTTTTAAGTCTCTGGGCCAACTCTTCCTTGTTCTGGTAGCACCCTACTCCCTGATGGGGCTTGAGTGAGCCTGGAGACTTTCGTGGGAAGTCTAGCATACAAGACGGTAGTGTTCACTGCCTCTCAGCTACGAATCAAGACCTGCTCTGCACTCTGGACAGTAACATGTCCTTCAACTTCGTATGTGAGAAGGGGAATATGCTAGCACCAGGCAAACTACAAGGGAGTTGAGAGCCATCTTAACATTTTAAGTATTCCTCAGTATCATGCCTGGGTAAAAATCTCCTCATTTGAAGAGAAACAAAGAGGGAAAAAAAGACATAGAACATATTTATTTTTTAAATCTACAAGAGTAGAAGGAGGAAAGAAGCTGTTCACAATACAAATGCTTAACTAAAATGTTAAGTAAATTATGAAACATCAACTCACTGGAGTCATTTAAATGACTATCAAGATTATGTTTCCAAATAGAAATATTAATGAACATTAAGATTAAATTTTAACATGAGAAAAAATTAAGAAATCCTCTTTAGTTTAAAAACAGAACAGAAGCACTATATATCCAATGATTTTAATCTTCTAAAATTGTGACTACAGATGAATAAAGTTTATAAGGGAACACAGAAATACAAAGGTTTTTGTTAGGATGAAATTATACTGACTTTCTCTAATGCTGTTACACTATTATTTTATTAAATCTGAAATATTTAAATGGAAGCCAGAAGAATGCACATACTTGCCAAAGCTCTGACAGGAGAGAGAAGACTGGGGATGGACCTAGGACCTTCAGGGTGTAGAACTGAAGAAAACAAAGTGGTTCTTACCCTTGTGCCTCTTCAGCTGGGGAAAGCTGCTAATTGTAGTTGCTTGGATTATTTCCACTACAATTTGATACCTGATTTTCAAAAAGAGAGAAAAAGAAAAGATTGAATAGGAAGAAAATACTATTTTCAGAGAGACTTTTTAGACTGTTTGTACCAATCAAATAAAACAGAAGAACTGCAAGTCCTGCCCCAGGATCATTAAAACCATCCAATATGGATTGAGCCAGGTGCTATGCCATGTGTCAGTCATTTCTGAGACCCTAACGTAAGAATCATGAGCTTACTCCCCCCACTCCTGTCTCTATGCCAGAAGCATTACTACCCGGCCCCTCTCTGAGACAGAAACTTTGAGGTTATGCTCAACTCCCCCCTCTCTTTCACGCCTCACCGCTACCCTCCTCTTTCCCCATTAGTAACCAGAGCCTATTGATTCTACCCCTAAATCTGCACTGTCCAATAAGGTGGCCATGAGCCACAGGTGGTGACTTTAATTAATAAGTTAAAAATTCAGTTCCTCAGTTGCACTAGCCACATTTGAAGTGGTCAACAGCCACGCGCGCCTCATGCACCATATTGTACAGTGCAAATGGAACATTTCCATCACTGCAGGAAGTTCTATCAGATGGTGTCATCCTACATACTTCTCAAAGCCGTCCTCTCCTCTCCAGTGCCACTGTCACTGTCTTAGTGATTTCCCTCATTACTTCTCACTTCGAAGACCATTCCAGACCAAGAGAATCAGAGTATCTGCACTTGCATCAATATTGTTGAAGCTTCCTAGGTAATTCTAACGAACACAGAGAGCTGAGAACCATAAGAGTAGAGTGCCAGGTATATGTATGTGTGACTGAGAACACCTCCAAGTCAGGAAGAATACAAGTTTACATTTTAGGTGCTGAAGACAACCCTAGAGTTGTGGCTATTCTGAGCATATTCAGTTGGGCTTCATGAACCCAAGTTCTTAAGGGCTATTCAGTGGTTACTAAGTATTGCCCAAGCAAACTCACCTATGCTGAGAGTTTCTTAGCCCTTAATTATATTGACTGATTAAGAACCAGCCATAATAAAGCTATTTAACATTAGTTCTTACTCTGAAGACAAACTCTGCAGCATTCTAAGTTTAATGCCACATTTGGCTGGCTTTTAGAGCACAAAATAAGATACGTTCTTTTGCTTTTCAACTAAAACCCAGATGACAGACATGAATTCATCATAGTCGTAGCTATTCATGGACTCCTCACAGACTCACATCTTTTTATTTCTTCACTTGTGTAATATAAATATCGACGCCTGCCTCTCACCATCTCAAAGAACAGGCTGTCCGGAGCATTGTCGGCATGTCACCTGGAGATTGTGGCAGACACTGCTGGTTGCCAATATCCTGTCTCTCTTTCTTCCTCACTAACTGAACCACAGTTTCATCAGGAAAGCAAGGCACCCAGCTAAAAATGCTAACCTTCTCCCTAGCAGGTAGGGACGGCCATTTCATATAGTTCTAGCCTATGAGGTATAAGCAGAAGTGCTGCGTGGGGTGGGGATACCAGGAAAGCTTTCTAAAGGGGCAGATCCCACAGACAAGCCCTTTCAGTCTTTTGTCCTTGCCCTTCCCCCATTTTCCTACATGGAACAAGAATGCAACCTGCACAACAGCCAGGAGGATGCAAGTCACAGGCTACGATGGTGACATAAGAGGACAGGAGGAGTTCAGGTCTCCAATGACACCACTGAGCCATCATAACAGCCCCAGACAGCCTATCCCAGGACATCTTCTTACATGAGGAAAATAAACCTATAACTCGTTTAAGTGACTATGTGTCAAGTTGTCTCATGGCCAAACACCATCCCAACAGATAGAGAGCTCTTTGAAGACTCCATGCACAGAGAAGACATCTCTAGGCTAAATACACGCTCAGGCAGTGTTCTCCAAATGGAAGCCTTGCTAGAGCATTAATGATCAGTCAAGTTTTCTGAAGGAACTGCCTTCTTCCTCCAAATAATGGTAAAGCACAAAAATAGCTCTTTATGTGATTTTTCCTGCAAACTGCTGAATGAATGAGGAAACATTTTATAAGAAGCACACACAAACCTGGAACTGTCAAAGTCTAACACTCCCTAACCAAGTCTGTAATTTAACCTTGGACTTAGATTTTACGAGCGGAAAGCACTGACTTCTCATTCAACCCCAGCACCTGCCTCCAAACTCCTCCTTGTGTATTGCCATCAGGATGACCTGAAAACAGACCAATGCCCTTTCACACAGCCATTCGAATCTCAGGAACTTACCCTAAGGAAACAATTTAATAGAAGCAACAACAACAAAAAATTATATACATGCTTGTAGCAACTTCTACAAAGAAAAGCATGAGAATAATCTATGTGTTCAATATGCTTTCATTAAATAAACATTTGTTAATCTTTTCCTATGTTCTAGACACATGGGAACAAATAACACCAATATGGTCCCTGCTTTCAGGAAGTTCTGGGGATATGTGAGACCAAGGGGAACGCACTCAGCCAACGATATTTAGAATTACAAAGATTACATATAAATATATTTTAATGACACACTAATTCTAAAATGCAAAATAACATGCACATTTATGATGGCAGATATGTAAATATGTGGGTATACGAACAAGGGTTACAGTGCACAATAGAGACAAAGGAAAATGAAAGGCAGTTGTGTTACAATGGTAGAAATATAAGTCATTTTTAAACGTTTTCCAAATTGTCCATCTGTCTGTCTATCTATCTTAGCCTATTCAAACTAAACTTATCTTCTTTCCTGCATAGGAAGCTCTCCTTACCTCTCCATTACTGCACTAGCATCATCATCCTTCTATCCTTCTAGGCTCAAAATCTTATCTTAGATATTTGCCCTACCAGTAAATTTCAGTCTCAAAGCCCTACTGATTTGTCCTTTGCATCTTTAAATAAGTTCCTTTCTTAACTCTTCCTTTTGTCACCACCCTATCTCAGGCTTTCTTCTCCCACACGAGTCAGTGCAACGGCTAAACAGTCTAACCATCTCTTTGACTTCAATCCTTTCTCCCATCCAAACCGTCCTGAGCACCCCTGTCAAAACACATTCCTAAAAGACCCCTTTCCTCTCATCCTTCCCTTGCTCCACACCTCCAGTGACCTCGCCAAAGGAGTAACCCTGCATTCCAGCCTGCCATTCCCTCTGCAACCTGGCACTGGCCCTCTTATGCAATCCAACTTCTTTTTCTCCTCAATATAAACCTGGACTTAAGCCAGGCCAGTTTCTACAGTGCCCTCCAAAACTCGAGTCACTTTCCAAGCTTTTGCTCACGCTGTTTCCTTCTGGAAACAATCTCCCTACTTGTCCACTTAACTAGATCTTACATGTAGTACTTCTTCCCTCAAATCTTCCCTAATTCCTCTAATCCACATTAATCTTTCTCTTTTCTGAAATCCTAAATTACTTCAGCTCTATAATAGTACCTATTCATATACCATTTTATATCGCTGTTTTAAAGGGTCACAATTCCACAAAGAGTGCTGTGAATGAAGAAAATGGTGTGGCCAGTCCTTTCAGGGCCTAACACTTCTTTAAAAAATGGTAACACATTTAAGCCTAAACCAAAATTATGGCTTTGTCTGTAATAAAAATACACTACCTTTTTTCTCTCCAACTAGATCATGAGCCTCTTCGAAGACAGGGATTGGTGTCTTGTACTATCCTGTAGGACCTAGCTTGGCACTAAACATATGATAGGCACTCAGCAAATATTAACAAGTACTATGGACTGAATGTTTGTGTTCCCCCATAATGCATATGTTGAAGCCTAATCCCCAAAGTGATGGTATTTGGAGGTGGGACCTTTGGGAAGTGATTAGGTAGGTAGGGTGGTAACTTCACAAATGAGATGAACTCCCTTATAAAAAAGAGACCTCAGAGAGCTCTCTGTCCACTATATGAAGTTACAGCGAGAAGTCTATAAACCAGGGAGTGGGTCCTCACCAGACATGGAATCTGCCGGCACCTTGATCTTGGACTTCCCAGCCTCCAGAAGTGTGAGAAAGAAATGTCTGCTGTTTAAGCCACCCATTCTATGGTATTTTTGTTATAGCAGTCCAAACTGACTAAGACAATGAGCTAAATTAATAAGCATTAACATCTATAACACTTAACAGGTACAAATAATATTTGGAACAATCTATTCTTTTGATATTCTTAGTGATTCACACTCTGGAACAAATGAGTCATCAATGGTCCTGAAGAAAATACATGCCATCTGAATAAAGAGTTACATTTTTAAAATGAATACATAAAATCATAATGCAATACCAACTACCACTTACAGATTCCTTTCATTGGGCACCAGGTACCTGTTTAGATACTTTAATTTACCTGATCTCACTTAATCCTCATAACAAGGTACTGTAATTATCCCCACATTACAGAGGAGGAAGTTGGAGCTCAGGTGGATTAAGAAATCTATCCAAGGTCTCACTGCTTTTAAGTACTAGAGCCAAAATTACAACCTAGGACTGCGTGACTCGAAAGCTCATGTTCTTAACCATTTTCCCGCTACCCTCAAATTCAATATAGGTTAATGTTTATCTCGTCCAAGGCCTTTCCAAGTACATAAGCATGGCTAATGCCAGACAATCTTTCCAGCCTTCCTGCCTTCTCTCTCCCTCTTGGATAGCATTTTCCTGCCAAACCAGACTGCATGCAATACCCCAAACACACTCCGGCTTGTCCCTGACTCCCAGCCTTTGCTCTGTTTCTTCTGTCTTGCACACAACCCCTCCCCCTTATCTGTTGAAATCCTATTTGTTCTTTTTTTTTTTTTTTT